GTAGAATGCCGCGGGTGGTGACACGTCAGCGCCGCGGCTACTAGGATAGTGGACACAGCGCGCCTGGCTACTGCACTAGTAGAACGCCGCGCCAGCCGCCTGCATGTGGATGTTTGACTGTCAGTATGTGACTGGGCGATGTAAAAGGCGATCGCTGCATGGTCTCTGTCAGACCGCTCGTGTACTTCGTTGTGATGGTTCACGTGTATGGAGACCTTTGACACCTCATGATGTATGCGATCCAGTGGGATGTGCGTGTATCCATCTTAATGTGCAGGGAAGGGTCCGCTATTCATATGCTGTCAAAGCTGGAACGTGCCTCTGGAACCTTTGTACGGCATCTTGGTGCATATGGCGGAATTGTACATATCTGGGCTTCTGTGAACTGCGTTGCTTGAAACACATTCCTTTATTACGTGCATATCTTCTGGGTGTGTGGATCAGTGCGGATAGTGCGGATGCACCCTGGGTTTTATCAAGTTGCATGTTCCGCACGAGTGAGGGGGTGTCCGTAAAGCCTGAGGTGGGCCCATGGACGGTAAATAGCTATTAGTGCGGTTATGTGGTGATTTATCGTCATCCTCCCGCGTCCCCTTGAGCATGAAGCGCCTTAGAGCAACGTGCAGGCTCTCCCAGACTTCCGAGATGAACCTGGCTAGTGCCAGGGGTGAGGCCCCGGTCATAATCGTGTGTGCACTTGAAACACGAGGTCAAATTCATGTTTGGCCCCGTGTAATTGTGTAAGATCATAAAAATGTGAATCTCATCTTCGACCGCCCCACAATGGCATCTAAGATGCTTGAATTAAGGTGTTCTAAAAGGAACTTCCCCTTTAGTTCTTCATCCCCTAAAGGGGAACCCCTTCTTTCCCTTTAGTTCATCCCCTAAAAGGTTGTCCCCTTTAGTGCTCCCCGAAGGCTTTCGAGGGACAGCTCCTTTGCCTCCTTGAACTAAAGTTCCCCTTTAGGGGAAGAACTTTAGTTAAAACCTAACAAAACACGGTATCCTGCTTAAATTCTTCCTGCCGTGTGATACGGCACGATTCTGCAGATATGGTCAAGGTGTGCAGCTTTGTCAGCCTGCTTTTTATTATGGTACCAGTTTTACATTTCATCATGTCCCCGCTGTAAAATTAGATGGTTTTATTTATATGTACCAGCATTGCCATCGCCTCGCGCCTGTATGGCAATGTGTATTCCCGTGACACGGCACCCTTGGATTAGGTTAGTGGCCCCCAGCCTAAATCAATTACCGAACCAGCCACACGATTACGATTGCAATACAGCTCCACGGCCAACAGGATTAGGATTGGTTCCCCCAGCCACAGGATTAGGATTGGGGCCCCCGCCGGTAACATTAGGATTGGGATCACCCCGCCCCGATATGGATAACACCACCAGTCTGGGATTAGGAATTAGAAGTGGCTGACCGATAACCACCCCCTGGATTGCGGACCCCTGGCTGACCTCCCCAGGGTACTACTTCTCGAAGTGACAGGTTGAAGGTACTTAAGATTTGTCAAAATCAATCCTTTTACAATCAAATGCCAAACTTACAAGAGTTGTGTGTTAGAAATCTCCGACCCAACTCTCAAGCCATACCTTCACGTGCTGCACCAAAATAAGTGACGGGAACCCCAAATGAGTGACGCCGTTTTCCCCGGTCTCTCTTCGTATTTGCACGTCCACGTACGACATACCCATACCGAGCCTTCGCACTGGCTAAGGACGAATGTAGCCGGTAGTTAAATTAAATACGTACCGTACGTACGACGTCTATTCAGCTTTGAACATAACCGTGAGCCAAGACATCAAAGGAACTGCCCACAAGCTGGTTCTCACGACATCTATCACGATCATCAATAATCGAAGATTGGATTTCGGGAACCGCTTCCACGTCATGCCGCGTAAGTAGCGTACAGGCAGCTGATGTATCGCGACCACCAAATGCAGGCAGCCGCAGCTATGCTTCCAACGACGAGAACAATATAACAAGGACCAGAAGTTACTCTACATCAAAGACACCTCGTGCCGTGTTTGGACAGCCACATTTCAGATTTAAATGGAACGATGCCCCGCATATGAAATTCTCCAACTGCACAAATAACAAGGCAGAGCAAAGAAAGCCAAGTCAAGCCAAGGCAACGAAAGCAAAGCGAGTAGTCAGAGAAATCAAAAAAAGTCTACAGCATGAACTAGCGCAAGACAGCCGGTTGTACCCGGTGACAGCGAAAAGCTACGAATTCAGAAGTGGCGGACGATGAAACCGCCAGCAGCGAAACACGGATCATCCCAGGCTGCTAGTCCACGAACGAAATTTCCATTCCTGACCCCTCTCCGCAAACATCGCGACCAGATTTAATATCAAGATATCGACCCGGCTATCGTAAGGCTGGGTCGAAACCCCTTCGGCCAATGGTTTCGAGCCCATCACCATTTGGTTTCAGAGCAACGGGCGGACCTAAGCACGGAGGACGGCAAAAGCGATTGCCGCCAATACGACGTTAGACCCACCATCTTCGCCAACAAACAAGCATACCTCATTTCTCACATATCAGCCGACTAATACGTCAGGAGATGGAGAGGCATTAGAAGTCCCGTATCCTGTAATGCTCTCCCCCCCACCACCACCCACCGCCACCTACCCACGGTGCTCAGCCCCAGCTAGAGAACTCCACACCACACACCATACCACATCACACCACACACCACAGCTGCTTCCGCCAGCATACACCACCACACATGCACCACCCATACATACAGCCAAAGCTGCGCGCGCAGCACGCCGTAGCTGTATTAGCTGCGGCTGTGGTAGTAGCAGTAGTAGTAGCAGTAGCGGCAGCCACCGCACGCACCAATAAGGCCACCGTACATCCTTATGCACCGTGGTGGAGTGAGCAAGGGAGATGAGATAAAAGGACAGCATACGTACATACATACGTACAGCTGCATGCTGCCATGCCAGCCATGCCAATCAGACAGAATGACTACGGTCTACGGGTATATATACACTTAGGATACTGTGCCATTTTAAATATGAAACAGACAGGACTTCGGAGGGATGCGCAGCGCGTCAGCACATTACACAACTCAACCTTATGAGACACAACACGATCAATGCCAGGTGTCGTACATTCCAGCAGCCCCCAGCAAACTCACCAGGCAGCGACCAGAGCGGTTCCTTTTTCCTCTTTCTCCGTTCCTTCGCACCTAACTGTCCTTCCATCTTCCAGCCATTTTTGCAAAAAAAATACATTATGAAGGAACCATACAAGCAGCACATGTGAGGGGAGTTGACTGGGAGAAGGCGGTACGGGGAACACTTGCAAACAGTGCGTTCAGATACGATGCAAAAGGTTGGCAGACCCAGATCATGTCTGATCCTCCAGAACCCCCAGGGAATGCTGAATCTATATGGCCATGACGACAGCCAGAGGTGAACGATGGGGCTGTGGGGTGGGGTTGGCGCCAGCCAATCCGGCCGGAGCGCGCCCCTACATGTACGTATCAAAACACGTGGGCTTGAAGTACGGCAGACTGTAGTACAAAGAAAGGACTTTAGCCTGCCGAAAATGTGACCTTTGAATCGCATCAGTCATTGATCCCTGGCCGTACAGAATGAAGTACGGGTTTGGTATGGTGATTCTGATAATACACCTCGACCTCAGCAGGTTACCGCTATAATTGCCTCCCCTCAACTCCCGCGAACAGACACGGGGACACCATACACACATGCACGCAAATCCAGCTTCCCTCCATTTTGGAAACGCACACACATACACACGCACAAACAGACACACTTCAACCATAAACCCACAAAAACGCATCTACACAGCCAAAAGCACAGTGCAAACGTATGTACGTATGTCCCCAAGGCCTCCTGTCAAATTCGCTCTAAACTCACCTAGCCACAAAGCGGTGCAAAATATATTTCTACATCGGGCTCTGTCGTACATGCCCTTGCCATACCGTACAATTTGGTGCATCTCAACAAAAACAAAGCAACTGTACAAATTGACCGAGGTTGATTTTTATCCGCTCCATCACCGCCGCCCTGGCTCAATGAACGGCTCAACGGACCCTACCGCACAGGCCCCAAACAGATTCCGCAAAGATTCCCAAACATAGCAAATCATCATGCTGGTGTCAAAACATTTTTTTACAGAACAACCATCATGCTGACAAGGCAGGCACAGACATACACACACCTGGACAGCAGCTTTTGTACGGCCCGGATGCATGCGGGACCCAAATCAGTGCATCAGTTGCACATAAATGCACCGCTGCCAGAGCCAGCGCCCGCTGCCAAGGCCGGAGGGACACCACGACATCCGCACCATCCGCATACCTGTTCCACCAGCAAGCGGTGATGCCAGCAAAATGCCGGCAGGACTGCAAAAGACTGGTTGACAAAGAAACCCTGGACCGTATGTTTCATAGGACCCTAGAGGCTCCCAAGTCCTGAAAACCGCCCATCTTCATTTTCCCGACGTAATGATCGTACACCGGATACATGGTGCCCTATTGCCGACAACGATGTGACGTACAAATACACAGACAAACGCAGAGGGGCACACACTGGCAGAGCTCACGAATTTTCCTCCCCCCATCATATGCGAGGGGAAAGCAACAGCTCGGAGCAGGGTGTGAACGCCAGAACAAACCGCCATCAACCTACCAACATCCAACCAGATTTTACGTGTGTTGAAACCGTGGACAAATAAAATACGTCATTTTTCATAAATTATTGTTATTGACCTTCGATCGTACTTACATGCAAGAGGGTCGTGGCCTAGAAGGCACACCTCACCCGCCCTCCCCTAGTCCCCACCTAAAACGCAAAGTTTCAAATCCCACACCTTTTCGTCACCTTTTCCTCCGAGTTCACCGGCGCACGACTATTCAAAAGTTGAAAGGACGAGGCAGCGGAATGTACGACAGCAGTGGCGAAAGATCGTATCGCCCCTTATCCCATTGCTTCACCTTTCCTTCCTTCCAGACTCAATTGTCCTCCAGAGTCGCCGTCAGTACTACCTTCTCCCGCCTGGACGAGCTCGCGGCGCCACCGTCGTCACTGCCGTACGTCCCACCAGGGCCGACGGACACCAGAATGCCGCCGTCGACGCCGCTGGGGTGTTGAGCCAGGTGCGAAGTGGTTAGGTCGGTGCATGACGCCGCCACGGCGGCGGCAGCTGCCTCCTCCTCCTCTGCCGTACGGGCGGTGACGACGCCGTCGGAGTTCAGCGACAACACCAGACGAGTGCCCGGCGCGAACTTACGGTGCAGTACGGCATCCGACAGCGGATCATCCACCAATCTGTACAGTGCATGCAAAGATGAGGGGAGAAGAGGGTATTAAAGATGGGCGTGTACGTCGTAAACACAGTAGAATTTCACGCACACCACAGGAAATGCAGTTTCATTATCGGTGACAGCCCAAGTAAAACTCCTCTTCGACCCCAAGGCTCTTTCTGTACGACATATCACAATGACATGCATCATACGACCCATAACCCCACACAGTCGAAACAATTCAAAAATGTGCGACAGCCTCAAGCCGGTGTCACCCCATATCATATCATCCAGACCTGCGTCAACTCCACACTCACCGTACAATCGCCTGCCGTAATGGACGAGCGCCGTACTCCTCGCTGTACCCTTCCGCAATGATGTGCTCCATCAGTGGCGGGGCCACCTCGACTTGCAATCCACGCTCCGCAGCGCGGTCAACCGTCTCCTCCATCATAAGGCCCGCGATGGTGGCCACGTCAGCACGACGCAACCGCTGGAACACCACCGTCTCGTCAAACCTGTGTTGTTTGGTAGAAAAAAGAAAAAAGCAGCGGTACAGGTAAGGCAAATGTAGAACCAATTAAAACCCACAGGTAGCAGAAAGGCAGAAGGGTGGGGCAGAAATGTGTAAAAGTCTATTACGGTCAGGTACACGGAAAGACTTTACCGTTACCGACAGTCTTATCCAACCTTTTTATCGGTACGATAGTAGTACGACAACACGGCCCAAAACAACCGAGTCACACGCGAGGCGCCCTGTAATGTCTCCCCTTAAAATTGAGTTCATTACAACAAGCTATATCAATCTTTTCCTGTGTTCACAAGAAACCAATCATCGCGGCTCCTCCCGCTATACTGAGGCGTCACCCGCTACAAAAACCATATCACCTGTTCAGTAGCTCGGGGCTGAAGAAGCTCCGGACCTCTCCGAGGACCTCCTGTTTCAGCTTGTGTGACGCCAGTGCCGCCAGCCGGTCGTCATCCCCCACAATATCCGCGCCGCGGGAGAACACGCCGCCGCTACCGACACCACCGCCCGCGGTACCGCTGCCGGCGGCGATGACCCGAGAGCCGATGTTGGAGGTCAGGATGATCATGGCGTGCTTGAACGACACCGTACGGCCCTATACGGGTAGAAGGTACGGATATGATCAAAATGATGATGACGGCGAAAACGATTTGAGCTGTGGGGGAATTGCAGGGAAATAGGAAAGTTTGGAGCGTTTTCTGTATTCCTGGTTTAAAGATTTTAGAGGGTCCTAGGCCCTAGTAGTAGGGGATTCACCTCACCTCTCTAGGACTTTGTACTGTCCTATCCGTTGGATACGCCGTTCCCACTTCCACCACTTTGATCGTACTTAGAAATCGAGATCAATCCAACCCATAGGTCCTATGGCTTAATGGATAAAGCGCCGGTCTACGGAACCGGAGATTCCAGGTTCGATCCCTGGTAGGATCGCTTCATTTTTTAATCGTTAATTATTCTTCCGAAAATAAATACCTGGTTGTGGTCTTTAACTCATTTTTGAGCTGATCTCCGATCGGAAGTAAAAGATATGACTTCCTGAAATCTGTAGATGCCCCACGCACCATTCCTGGATAGAACGGCCCATCTAAACAACTTTTCGTCCGGGGAAGGCCCTGTGTGTTTTTACAACACCCCATTACCACCCCTCCCCACACCTCTCCCCACCCGAACCGCCCAACCTGCGAGTCTGTCAGTCTGCCGTCCTCCAGGATTTGCAGCAGAACCGCAAACACATCGGGGTGTGCCTTCTCGATCTCGTCAAACAGTACGACACTGAAGGGCCGTCGCCGAATCGCTTCCGTCAGCTTTCCGCCCTCTCCGAAACCAACGTAACCCGGCGGGGCCCCGACCAACTTGGACACGCTGTGCCGCTCCATGTACTCGGACATGTCCAGTCGCAAGAGGGCGTCCCTGGAGCCGTAGTACTGCTCAGAGAGCACCTTGGCCAGCTCGGTCTTACCCACGCCTGCAGCCGGTTTCATACCATTTTTCATACCAATAATTTTTAAAACAATAATAATCATACTAATTTCAGCACGTCCTTCTACTTGAGGGTTGTTGGTAATAAGGAGAGGGCACTTTTTCATGTTTCGTTTGGCTTTGTACGGAGGGGTTGCTGGAATTTTGGCAGACAAGATATGAACGTCTTGGAAACGATCACGCACACGCGCATACGCACAAACACACACACACACACAGCAGTGCTGTTACCTGTGGGCCCGACGAACAGCAGCGAGGCAACCGGGCGACGCGGGTCCTTCAGTCCGCACCTAGCTCGGCACAGCGCAGTGGCAATGGACTCCACTGCGTCCTCCTGACCCACCACGTGGTGACCCAAATCGGAACGCTGGGGTGCGGAGGGAGGCGGGGAGGAGGGGGCGTGCGGGAGGGGGGGTGCGATGAAGCATACATAGGCGATTGACCCGTGCGGGGGGAAAATTGAAAGGGTGCGTGGGGGACTCGGGTGAAGGAAAAAAGCGTTGGGGAAGGGGAAACTATTTGCAAATAGAAGGGGTTCATAGGGTTTGACACCCCCGTAAGAGGGTCCTAACCAAGCCCTCCCCCCAAGAAAACAATCAAGGGCGTCGTAGATTCCTACCACAATGTGTCATACCATGTTCAGCAATCGCTCCTTCTCGTCGTCGTTCATCTTCTCCACGGGAATGGCTGTCCAGGCGGAGACAATGGCCTCGATGTCCTCCACCCCCACTACCGGCAACACCGAGCCGTCAGAGCTGGGACCCGCCAGCTCAGACCTAGCAGGGGATAGGAGGGGGATCAGGAAATTAATCAAGAAAAAACAGCAGACGCTGAAGTACGGATGTGCTAGTATAAACAAACTTGTACATGTTCGCTTCGACAAAGAGATCCTGAACTAGAAACATCATTTTTAAATATTCAAAGAATTTCCGGCTGAATGTCCATGAATTCACTTTAGCACGCATACAAACAATTCACGGCAGGGTAACGCAAAGTCATTGTGGCACCCTCCATCATCCTCACACTCTCTCCCCCCTACTCTGCACCGCTTTACCTGTAGTCCATCTCCCTCCTGCGCAGGATGACCGCCTCCTCGTACAGCCCGTCCTTGACCGCCTCGTCCTTGGTGGCCAGGACCTGGGAGGAGTCGCGGCGGGGGAAGCGGGTTTCGGAGCGAGGGGGATACAGTCTTAATCGCCGCCGCTTTCTTATGCGATTAGAGCTCATTGTGGATAATACGCAAGGAAGCATGGAATGAAACTGTTATGCCGATGCTGATGCCGCCGATGGGGGGGGAGACTAGGGAGGGCTGAAATGACGGTAAAATGGATCATCCGTCACCCAGTGATGCCGACCGACATACCTGTCCCACACTACACTACATTACACTACACTGCGCTACACACACCCGCAACCACAGACCCACCTGTAAATACTCGTGGAGCTTGGGATGATCCCGACTGTACGACGAAGATCCAGATCCGGATCCTGGTGACAAAGCCAATGATGCCATGCGGGCCTGTTGCCGGCTGCGTGTCTGCCGGGCGGTGAACGCCGCGATGCGGGCTCGCGACCCGGCCTCATCGATGAGGTCGATGGCCTTGTCAGGCAGGAAGCGGTCCGCGATGTACTTGTGGGAGAGCGTGACAGCTGCCGCGAGCGCCTCCTCCGTATAGGCGCAGCGGTGGTGCCGCTCGTAACGCTCCTTCAGGCCCTGTGGGTTTGTATGTTTGTAATTTTTCAGGAGCCATCCAAATCAGGCTGAGATGGCGGGGTGGGGAAATCATAATCAAATGAAAACAGTTCACATTACTAACTGCCGTACTGAAGACATGGGGACCAGTTCCGTACATACACGTCACGTACCATGAGGATGGCCAGGGTGGCCTCGGGCGTGGGCTCGTCAACGGTGATGGGCTGGAAGCGTCGCTCCAGGGCGGCGTCGCGTTCTATGTATTTGCGGTGCTCGTCCAATGTCGTAGCGCCAATGACCTGAAACTCCCCTCGCGCCAGAGCAGGCTTCACCAGGTTGGCGATATCCAGGCCGCCGCCGCCGCCGCGACCGACGCTGCCGGCGCCCACCAGCGTGTGGATCTCGTCGATCCTGAGTGAGTCCAACGCGAACATCCATCACCAGGTTCCTTCAACTATGCCTCATTCTCACACAAAGCGTGGGATTTTTTCATGAAATATTTCGCAATCAGCCGCCTCTTAGGACCTACCGTTTCCTGAGCTTAACGCCCCCCCCGATATCCTGTTCCTCGACTGTCACACATGTCAAGGCCTCCTTCACTACTTAAACACAAGACCTCAGGGGTTTTCCCCAACCATCCGGGTAACACAACTCGCCGCCGCTCAGCCGCCTTTACCCTGTCTCCTTTCCATACCCCCTTCCCATTTCCCCCTTATGCCACGGATTTCTGATTGCCGTACATGAGAATGATGTTGCCCGCCTCCTTGACCTCCGCGATGAGCTTGGTCACACGGCTCTCCAGCTCTCCACGCTCCTTTGCACCTGTACGACAATGCGGACGACAAATGTGGTAAGGGTTCCTTTCGTGAGAGGTCTACCCTTAAACCCGAAGTTCTAGCTGGCCCCCAGCACCCAATAGAATCCTAGCATTCCCGCCCTCATCCATTCCTTCACGTACGTGCATAAATACATACATACGTTCATACACACATAACATTAGGGTTCTGTTGACACACAACACAGGACACAAAACACCCCATGTACTCGCGGACATACAACCTCCGTCAAGTAATCGCTGTACCTCGGCCTCCTCTGTCCAACCCACTTCCTTATCCTTCCATCCTCCAGCAGCCAATTCCCCAGCCTAGCCTCCAAAACCATGCAAATACATATGTATGATATCACATCGCCGCTCAGATAGTTTAAAAATCTTACTATACTGTTCGCTTCTTCCCAACCCCTCTAATCCCTGCCACCATAGCCCCTCAACACACACAAAACACACCCTACCTGCAATCAACAGCCCTACGTCCAGCTGCAGAATCCGCTTCGAATGCAGAAACTCAGGAAGCGGAGCGCCGTCGAGGGATGCCGTACGATGTACGATAGCTGACGCAAGCCCTTCCGCGATGGCGGTTTTCCCTACCCCGGGCTCGCCCAACAGAATGGGGTTGTTCTTAGTACGACGCGCCAGAATTTGTACGACACGTGACACCTCCCGCTCGCGACCCACCACCTGTAAGGGGGATGAAGGGGAAAGTTCCAAAAGTACAAGAACTAAGTCAAGTGCTTTGGTAATGCACAATATTTTGATGAAGTACAAACGCCCAAAACGCAAGCTGCCCAGGCAGTCCAATGCAATGACGCCTAGCTAGTCAAGCTATGCCCCGGGAGGGATGGAAGCTTCCAGCAGTTGGACCCGACCGCCGGGATGCAAAATCAGGAAAGCGCTGGCCTGCTCGCTGGGAGTGGACATCATGTCACGCACCAGGCAAAGCTGCGCCCTCAACCCGGTCCTTTCAGACCATTCAACCCTTCTGTTTATCGACATCCAACAATGTATCTGCTGCTCCTCGGCCACTGCTTATGTTCAATTACCGTCCACCATAACTACGAAAAGTCCAGCATGCAGGTGCACGTCCGTGATATCAGCCTGGGCAACGGCCCGCCAGCCGACTACCACTGCTGGGCCCCGATCATCCGGCCACCTACCGGGTCGATCCTGCCCGCCCGAACCTCCGCACACAGGTCCTTGCAGTACTCCTCGGTCATCTTGGGACCTTCTTTGGCACCAGAGGCCTGGTGGAGGGAACCCGAGAGAGGAGAGGAGAGAGGAGGATACATCAAAGCTCAGAAGATTGATAAAAAAGAAATACAAAGGAAATACCATAAACGGATACTCCAAGAAAAGACCAAAAATGTAGGACAATGTGCAAGATATTGACCCGTAGTGATTTTTTAAGTGGAGGGAACGTTCAGTGGTGGAAGGGAGTCCTAAATAAAGCGCAGTTAAACGGCAGATACGGTCTGGCAGGGCCAGGCCATGAGTTTATCTTCCACGTCGTAGCCTGAGAAGGCGGTTTCCAGGTAAAAGTGTGCAGATTTGGACTCCAAACAAAAGTTTACCAAAACAAAGAACGTTGCCAACAATGCTGCAAACTGTGTCGGCAGATGAGGGAAGAGGTGAATTCAAAAAGGCAACCGCTGGGTCAGCAGTCTCGAGGGAACTAGCTAATCGGAAGCGCTTCGGCAGGTTTTGTTCGTGTTTTAATGTCTGTGTGTGTGCGTGTTTGCGATTGGACCCAGACTAAGGACCAAGAGCAAGGGGTAGGGCTGCGTGGAAAATGGTGGTGTGGCAGTATACGTGCCTGCTTCTTCTTCGCCTGCTCCGCGTCCGTATCGCCTTTGAGGCGCTTAGAGGCCTCAGCCTTAAGACCATCCACGTCCACAGACAGCCTGAGGAGCGGATAAATAAAGAGGATAGCAAGAGGAGGCTAATTTGGAAGTGCATGAACAAGACGGTGTAGCATAAACATGATAGAACAGATTGAAGAGCAGGTCGCACCAAGATTGTGTGTAAGCACTGATGTCGCTCGCGCGAAATGCTATATGTTAAACCTTAGTAAGAGTTCTATGATAGGCGGCACGTAATTTCCGTAGTTGAACGTTTTCCAGGGCATGGACAGCTACATCAAACTGAACAATCGACAAAGCTTGGGCGATCGCCAGACGCACTCATTGAAGACATTTGTAATTGACCAGTTTGTTACTTCAATTGGGATGAGCTGGGTCGGCACACTGTAGGTTAATTGGCGAAGGACAGACCCTAGCTGCCATGTTGAAGGGTCTACAGGCCGTCGATAGGAAGTATGTGTGTAGCACCATGTTGTGTGATAATAACAATCATTTAATCCGCGCTTTCATGTAAAAGCCCGAGTCCTAAGTTAAGACTCAAGGACTCACGAGTGAAGGACGCGCTTCCCATTGCAGTCCGGCATAGCGAGCATAGCCAGCAAGATGTGCTCCGGTGATATCCAGTTGACGTTGGAGCGTTTGCACTCCTGTGAACAGGCGAAGCTGCCGGTCAGTCCAGGGTTCACGCCATCTCAACTGGCAAGAAGGCAGAAGTGCAAGCCCCTGTATGTTACTAATGAACAAAAAGGGCCAACAATTGATAGAAGAAATGAGAAACCAGGCTGGTCTAACGTCCGAGAGTGCGCAACATCGCGGACAACTTACGTGAGTTGCAGCCTCGAACATTTTCCGAACTTCGCGACTGAACGGTATGCTTTCACCGTGGCTAACAGGTCGTTTGCGCCCAAAAATTGCCTCCACAGTTGCTTTAGCGCGTTCAGGCGTCACACCGCTGTTCAAGTAGCCGTTCTTGCTCAGGCTCTCCTCAGCTACCAAACCCAGGAGGATATGCTCTGTGTTCACCTGTACATAGCGCAGCCACTTAAGATGCCAAGGACATAGTGAAGACGTAGCGGCCTGTCCCAGCGCACCTCATTGTGACCGAAAGACTTGGCTTCCGCTTGGGCAATCATGACAGTCTTAATTGACCGCTCCGTAAACCGTTCGAAAACAGCCTGCACCTTGACTGCTTGGCGACGACTAACTGAGAACCTTTGCGGCCGGGGGAGTTTCGAACTCAACTGCAGCGCCGGGCGCTGCCCCATTCTCGACATCGAGGCATCAACGTTTCGATAAAGGCAAGCACGAGGAGCTTGTCGACAGCATCTTCCAACAAGGCTATGCACCGTCCCGGCGGTCCGAGACCTAAGGCCTAGTGATAGAGGCATCCGCTATCAAAGAGAAATAGCAGTAATATGGAAGCTGTGCCGCTTGCAATCAATCAGCTCAACTATGGAAAGGATTAGTGAGTTGTTAAGTTCAAAAGCGACTGGGAAAGTATCGTGCCGGAAGGAAAATCCCGACACCCCACGGCAAGAGCCTGGTGGACGAGCGTACGGCGATTTGGCGACGATTTGCTTTCGCCGACAGGGTCAAGGATGGCTTACTCCTCATTTTAATCGATATTTGCGCAACTAAATTGGCATTGAGCTTAGTCTTGATGTTCTTTTCTGTAACTGCGATTCGTTTTGAGTCGTAAAGTAAGCGCCCTAAGCATCCCCAAGGGCTGAACCTTTTCACTTGCATTCTCTTTAACTCAGAACTGCAGGTTGATTGCCTAAAATAAAATTGCCTGCTGGACAACCTGTCGCATGGCCGTTTGGTTATGTCCAGTTTGTTCCAAATCAGGTCTTCGATAATTTTCTTGACAGCTCAAGTACTGCGCTGGTCCGGTTTTAACGGGTGGGAATGTGGCTGTGCAGCGTCAAGTACCCGCGGCCCCCCTCTTCGTCCGAGCGGATGGGAATGTGGCTGTGCAGCGTCAAGTACCCGCGGCCCCCCTCTTCGTCCGAGCGGAATTCCTTCTTTTCCTCTTCCCCTCAACTCTATTGAAGGTTAAGAAGATCGCACTGCTATCGTTGGTTGCCGTCTGTAGGACGGAAAAGACCCTCCACAAAAAATGGCCACCTCCCCGGGTCATGGTTGGCTCTAAAGCGCAGGTACCTCACAGGCCAGATACAAGCTAGTAGCACCAACGTGCCGCCAAAAGCCAGGTGGAGTAACATACATGGTCACATCATGGCCTTGTGGGACCTAACACTAGATCGGACGAAGTGTTGTACGAAGTGTTATCGCAGATGTGGTGCACTTCACCATTCCGCCGCGGTCCGGGCCACGCGATATCTATGGTGATGTCATGAAGCTTTAAGCTGTACAAAATACATGATTTCAGCCGCGTGTGAGTATCACTGCATACAGCCCAACTGCTTTCCACCCACTAAACAAGCCCAACTGTTCCCAAATCACAAAACAACCTCAAGTGTTGTACTTTTACGGCGCCCTAAGTGGGCTAGGAAAAGTGAAGAAATGAACATGGGTCTGGACGACGCGTACATACTGTTGGATTGCCACCGCTGTGAAATAACGTACGGTACACGCATGGCCATGGCATGCATATGCCTGCATGTGAATCATGTAACGCAGGCCTGTCATTAAGTGCCATGCAAGCGACGCATTGCTTGGCATGTGGCTACCTTCACATGTTGAGCGGCCGGTAAACAGCAAACACCCCAGGATTACATGTTTCGTTCACATGAAGGATTTACGATAGTTGCTGAAGTAATGAGGGGTAGTGACTATACAGGGCATCCATAAGGAAACCCCGGAAATGCCGGCCTTGACGACCAGGGCAGACGGACAGGGTCCGCTGGACAGGTAGCCATTCAGCACATTCCGGGGGTCCCACTCCAGCTTATGTGGGAAGTCTGCCATCTAAGCATGCCGAGTTGCTCACATCACAAAAGTGAACGTTCCTCCTGACATCCATGCCTGTAGTACAATGCTCAGCGCCGAGCGCATCCCGCCGCACCATCCGGCCGCTATGTTCGTATACAGATGTGTGTTACATGGTTGGGGGTGCGTGACCCCATACCTGTAAAACTACCCATACGAGCCGAAGGCCCAAGGGCAATACTTCAACGCCTAAAAGCCACGGGGAACAGGAAACACCGCACATCAGCCCAGATTTCTAGCGTCCAAAAGGGGTAACTGAGTTTCGGTGAGCCCACATACGTTATGACATCCTCGTATACATATGTGGCACGCCAAGTTCTGCGACAGGAGATCGCAGAGGCCCTCTCCAATCCCGAAGCGGGCGGATGGGGGCCACTAGTCCTCCGTTTTCTGAGCTTTCTGGGGCAGGATGTACGGAAAGAGGCCCCGTAAGGGCTACATGAGGCAGATGAACGAGTGGAAGGGCTAAGGAACAGGCTGTTGCCAGAAGGTGTGGTATTGAAGTTCAACGATCGGTTGATGAGTGGTTGGAAGCATACGCGTCTAGATGTCCAGCCAGACGTGTACCCGTCAGATTTAAAGCAACCAGAAATTCACATGGCGCAGTATATGCATTGGATGGGCCTGGCGGCCGAGCAAGCGGGCAGGAGAGAGATCTTCCCGCATATCACAACGTTTATCCCCTCGAACCGCAAGCTTATGCAGTTTAGGCTTTGCTGTTGGGCACTGGCTGTGGCAAGGGACGGCGTTGTATACCTAGGGAGGAGCGAGTATGCCCCTGCTGCGGCAATGATAGCCATATTGAAGATGAGAAGCACGTTTTGCTGGACTGTCCGGTGTACGGCAATATCAGATCTGATATGGATTTCCCACGCTTCGAGAATATGAAGGACGCTATGAAGTGGGAACCTGAACGTCTGGCAAGGATGCTGGAACGTATGTGGCCCCACCGCAACTCTACCGTTCTCTTTGGTCGAGAGTCTCCTTTACCACTTGCTTTGTCTGACGTGCGAGGTAGGACGGTGCTTATAGGCGATCTGGCAGCCCTTGAGCCCTCGGCTCCTATTGGGCGGTTTGCAGGTACGGGGAACACATCCACGACCACGTAACACACACGTATGTGAAAAAAAACGTTATGCCGGCACAGGTGCCACCTCGACAACACGGATATCAGAACTGCCCGAGCTAGCATGTAAGCCAGAGCTCTGATGTACGCCGCGGAGACTGATTATGTAATGCCGTACTGCCTATGTCTGCTGTAAGTACGGAATACGGCAGTCATAAACAGCGACAGAATTGCATGCAAGCCAGCTCATAATGGACCGTTTGCTCCTTGGACAATTACCGTACGAAAACCTGCTGGTAAAGCTGTAGCCCACATGACTCTTATGTGAATATCTGCCTCATCGTTTGTTAGGGTTTGTTATAAGTATCCAGGATCCTTGCTCACGGCACCATGGGACAATACACCCCCAAAAGATGAGAAGGAGTACAGGCGAGAAAGAGCACACAGGCACTTTGCAATTCGACGTCGGAGAGCCAACACTAGGGCGCGCACGCTTGCAATCGACAGCGGCCCTTGATGGTCGGCTCATCTGCAACGCCCTAACCAGACCGCAGTGCAGCGCTTCAATTGTCGGAGGTGTCGGAGGTAGGGGGCCAAGAGGCACATTGCGCTCAGGCGCACCGAAGGGAGACGCCAACACTCGGTGCCGCAATGATGGCTATTGACAGCCCATGGCCCCCCCACGGGCTTTTTAAGAGACGGGGCCCCCATTTGTGCGGAGCTTGTATTTAAATTGTTGTCGTACGTTCGAGCCCAGGTCCTCGTAGCGGACCAGCGAGGTGTGCTGGTCGGTAAATGTGACGAAGCAGCCTAACGGTCTGACAGGAACCATCTCCATGGCGGCACCATATACCAGTTCACGATCCAACGTCCAAACTTGCAAGCTGGGTAAACAGATGGAGTCCGAAACCAACCCGGGGGGTTGGGGGGTTGGGGGGGAGCACTCGAGGACCGCATCGTAAGGCGCTTCTTGCCGGGCCTCTCCTCAGTCGAGAACCGCCGAATGAGCTGACCCAAATCACAAATCTTTACTTCTTCATATACACAAACACACACACAAAGACACGTCCTTCATCTCCAAACCGCAGCTATGCCTCATGACGTGGACCTGCTGCCGCGTCGTCAACATTGCCGCAGTCACCGTCGTTGTCATCGTTGCCGTCGTAATATTGGGTGTATTGTGCTGGGCCGCGCCTTGCGGAGATTCGTACACTCGGCGGCGTCCTCCACCTTCACCTCCCCGTCGCTCCTCCCCCTCCTCTTCCACATCGCGGGGCCATCCGCTCTCCTCTCTCCTCCTAGAGAGCGCCGCCCCCGGGGAGCCCGTGTTATAATGTCTGGATGGCAAGAAGGCGCAGAGAGGTAGCGGGTAATACACAGCAGGCGCAACAGACGCACCAGGAGCGCGCGCGCGGCGTGGGAAAGAAAGCAGCAGCAGTATACAGCAGCGGACAAGGGGGAAGCGAACGTGATATGACATCGTTGCGGGTGCAGCGCAGTGTGAGTGCAGACGAATACGGATAGCGCAGCTGTAGCAGATTAATTATGCAGCAGGACCCAAATGCAGCAACAGCATTTGGGAGGAGCAATAAGAGGAGCAGTAGCAGCAGATTATGTGCTGTGAAACGGCGGTAATAAATCCAACGTCTTGCGGTGTGCAGCTACTGCCTTGGGCAAGATATCACGGAGGTGTCAGTATGTATCAAGTTGACGTCAGTTTTGATGGGGCTTCTAGGGCACCCTCTTCGGTCCGTACATCGCATCAGATGGCCGTTATTATGTACGGTCAAGGTCGTACATTACTATCCAGGCCCATCGCGCGGTCATGCAATACGGTAGCTTCTGTCTTAATCCCAAGAAGGGCAGTCGGGTCTCAGACGGCAGTTCATACAGTCATTCATGTCAGGTCATCGAAGATAGGATAGCTATAAAGGAAAAAAGCACAAAGCGTCTGACTGCGTCGATCGAGATACACTTGAAAGGCACATCGGGTGGTCGTGTGTGTGAGGGGGGGGTTTAAGGTTTACGCAGACCGCCCTGAGCCTTACGTCTGATAGCTCTTCACCGAACAGGCGACTTTTTAGGGCGTTCTGCGGATTGATCGACCAGATGACGGTAGGTAAGTAGGTTGCGTCCTGTGCAAGTTCGGGCGACTCGCAAGCTTGGCGTGGCCGTCGTACCGGCAGGGAAACTCAAACAGGGATGGGCGCTTCACTTACTCCCTCATCAGAATCGCCGTCCTCTGCTAACTCTGTCGTGGAGACTCCGCGGTGCTGCGGAAAGGAAGCGGGCAAGAAGTTTGTTATTCGATCAGACGCCATCGAGGGTTTGTTGACCACCGCAGCCAATACCAAGCACGCAGTCACAAAATTTCCTCGAGAACACACCTGTGCTAAGGAGCCCAACACAGACAGCGAAGAGGTGGCCGAGAGTGCAGACGCGGCGAAGCCCATCGGAGCAAACGTGGGTGATGCTGAAAACTGTCGTGGCAACATTACAAAGAAGCAGCACCGCCATTAAGGATGCGATCTAGTAAACCTATCAATTGTTTTGAAAGTATTAATACACGTATCGCACCTGAATGCTGGCCGGCCGAAAGCTCCCTAAAAGAGCAGAGCACTGTGCACTAACGGAGCCGTTCTGCATCTTTCCCGCAATAGAGCGCATCATTAACCCAGGAGAGCTGCTAGCATTGCCGTTTGAGCTGCGAGCCGACGCCTGCAACCCGGATTGCAAGGCACGACAGGCGCTGCGTAATAACTGACGCTGTGACATTATAGCAACTCTCGTGTAACTGCGTTGACAGTAATTACTATGCATGTAAGACTCCCAATGGCATTCCAGCATAAGCGCTCTGCATCGCCGTACAAAGACTTACCGGCGGTACAATTTTACAACCACGTCGCTTGAAGACTTCCTGGTTTAGCTCAACTTCCTGAATACTGCATATCCATTAGAAACAAAGATGTGACTGCTTGTTTCGACCTCCACGGTGGTTTGGCTCGCTCAGCTCGCGCCCTCCAGTCACCACACCTTCCTTGTCCGACAGCCACATATGACCACAGCTCCCTATCCAATTGCCGTGTCCCCCGAAGAGAGCCATCCCTCACACCCAGCTCCGCTCTCCGGGAATCCTCCCCGCAAATCCCTATACTACGATCCCGGGCTTTACGAACGTCTTGCAAAACCTTAAGACCACCTCCACCACCACCACCACCACCACCACTACCTCCACCATCTCCACCACCACCACCACCTCCACCACCACCACCACCACCACCACCACCACCCCGCCACCACTGCCATAAGGGTCCACCACCACTACCTCCCAAGGGAAACCCGGAGAGCGCTCCGAACTCCACTCCCAGTCCATTAATGTTCCCCCAGCTGGCCATTCCACCTCTTGAACGTCATTACGAACCCCCTACCACCCACAAAACCACCACGTCACTCCAAACGTATTGAGCAAGTTGGCCAGCGTATGCATGTATGTATGTATAGATATGTATGTATAGATGTATAGACATGTAAATAGATAGATAGCTACATTGCTTTTAAACTGCCCGTGGGGTACTGTACGAACACGGCCGACGTGTCCGAGGTAATGTCAGGAGCTGAAGGGGGGGTGGCCGCCCTCTCCCCAAACAGCCGCAACAGGGGGGTTGCCTTTTTAGGACACCCTGAAAATTCCGAAGGAAAGCCCCACCCCGCACACCACCCTAGCCATCAGAACACAAGGTACTTGGCCATCACCTCCCGCGCCAGCTCTGTCGCACCGCTGCTGAGATACAACTGGACAAGATTATGAGCCACATCTCGACGGAGATCCCAACGCTCGCCGGACCCATGGGTCGCTGTGGCCGCGGCACCGGAACCGAAACCTGCGGCCGCGGCGGCGGCGGCGGCGCCGCCCCCCCCAAGCGTTGACTGCCACCCTGCTTTGGCGGCAGCTGGCGGCGCCGCCAACGCCAATTCGTAATAGTGGTGAGCCAGGTGCAGAAGGCCTAGCTGGTGGGCTGCTCGTCCCATGTTGTACGACACCTCCTGACTCAGCTGCCCGCCCCGGGTCTTTTGGTACATCTGTGCAGTGGGGGGCCAGCGGGTTGCGAAGGGGGGAAATAGGTGGCTGGGTTTCGATATGACTGGGTGCTGGCCAGGGGGAGATGTAGGTTTTGGGTTTCATGGACTTCACGAAGGGGGTAGGGCGGGATAAGACAACCACTGGCGAATTAAGCAGGGGGGAAAGAGGGCTTTTTGGGCGGTTAAAAAAAAATTTAAGTTTCGACGGGTATTCCACCCACGGTATTTGCGGATTGTTTTCTAGCTGCGCACCGGGGGCCCATAGCGCACTGGATGACAGCCTTGCCCAGCTAAGACACCGCCGAACTCTCTACTTAGTGTAGGATCGTAACATAAATTGCCGTACAACCCCGTCCGTACCTGCAGGAATGCAAACCCGGCGAGCACGCCTCGGTTGCGGTCGCGCAGCGCGCCACTGCCACCGCCGCCGCCGCCGCTGCGGCCGTGGCGATGCGCCGGCAGCTGCTGGGACGCAGCGCCGCCGCCGCCGCCGCCGCCTCCTCTGGCGGCGCCCGGCGCCATCGCTGCAGCGGAGGCCATAGCTTCCGACAGCAACGTGACTCCCAGACATAACAGTAATAACGGCTCTTCAGGTACGAAGCGGTACGCGTGAAAATACTCCGACGCCGCCTCGCGAAATTGCCGGGCCAGCAGGTACACGTGGCCCTGAGGCAACAGCACCAGCACCCGTGCTCACATAAAAAACACGTTCGTGCATGTGTTGCATGTGTTGTGCTTTCCCCGCATCCCCGCACGAAAGCAGCAACATGGGGTTCCACCAGGTTCGGCATGCGGGCCTTATCCCCCCACACATCCCCAACCAAGACCCCTATCCCCCTGGGCCCCCCCTTCGCCCTTTCCCACCCCCCCCTCCCCCCCTTCCCCGATACTCTCTTGCCCTGGCAGCAGCTTCAATCGTGTGTGGTTCGTCTTG